CCCCACCTTCCACCGCCACCCGGGCAGCCACCGCTGGGAAAAAAAACCTCACACTCCCATCCTCCGAGCCTTCCGAATTCCTCCTCCCGGACACAAGCTCGAAAAGCACCATTCCGTAGCTGTACACGTCAGCTTTAGCCGTGATTGCCACGCCCGATATCCACTCGGGCGCGAGGTACCCTCTCGTCCCTCTCATAGTCGTCAAGACTCGACTAAAATCCCGGCCAACGAGCTTGGCGAGCCCGAAATCAGCCACCTTGGGGCAGAACGTGGAGTCGAGGAGTATATTCTCGGGCTTTATGTCGCAGTGTATTATGCAGTCCCGGCACTTCTCGTGTAAATAGGTCAATCCACGGGCTATTCCGAGCGCAATTTCGTACCTCGTTTTCCAATCCAAGAATTTTGACCCGGAAAAAAGGTGGGAGTCCAACGAGCCGTTTTCCATGTAATCGTACACGAGTAGCTTTTTCTTACTGCCTTCCGAGCAAAACCCGCGTAGCCTTACGAGGTTCACGTGCTGGATTGTCCCAATCGTGCTAACCTCCGTTCGGAACTGCTTCTCCCCTTGGCTTACGCTCTCGAGCTTCTTGACAGCAATTGCGGACGAGTTGGGTAGAATCCCCTTGAAAACCGAGCCGAAACCACCGCCTCCCAATTTCTCCGAGAAGTTCTTGGTCGAGCTTTGCAGGTCTTTGTACCTAAACGCGACTAAAGTTCCATCAACAGTTTTCGAATTTCTCACCGAAATCTTCCGTTTTCTGCACGCAACAGCGGCCATCACTGCCAGCAAGGCAGCTGCAAATGCAATAGAGCCGACAATAGCACCAATTGTAACGGCCCGTTTTTTACCGTTGTTCTTGCCGGAAAAAAGGGGCGATGAAGAGGAGTGCCGTATGTATATCATTTGCCCGTTACCATCTCCTTCAGACAGCTGTTGGAGATTAAACAATTCTCCATCCCAAACCGAACACCCGTTCGTGTCAGAATACGAATAGGCCGTGCAAGAACAGTTTCTCAAGCAGGTCGATTCGCATTCGGCTACACTACGTATAGATAACGAGTGAGCATTATCGGGTAACCTCACGTGAGGGCTCGCCAAGAATCTATCTCTTTCCCTGTTCGAATTCGTGCCGTTATCCTCCTCGCACCGCAAACTCATCTCCCTCACACAACCGCCCGAATAATCCCTTAAATTCCAATCCCTATCCGACCGATGCCTGAAACCCGGCAAACAATTACAGAACGGCAGCGAATTCTGATTGCACGTGCCGAAAGCCCCACAATAAGCATACACTTCACACTGCTGTCTCGGCTGGGACCAGAACAAGTTCCAGTCCGAGTCTTCGAACCAAGAAAGCTGCTTAATCTGACCCGAGACATCCATGATGAACCTCGAGATGAGTGACGGGTTGTAGAGCGAGTACGTGAAGTAGCTCTCGTTTTTGTTGTTGATGTAGCTGAAGTTGTAGATGTAATTCAGTCTCATTTCAGGGACTAAACTGAAAATGTGGCCGTTCCAAGGCCCGCTGAACCAGTAAGGCTCGGTCCTGTTCCACCGGATAATGTATTGGCTCTCGTTCGGGTCGAGCTCGAGCGAGAAAAGTCCTGGAGCCGGGTCCTCGGCGTTTTTCCAAGAAGTCAGGTGCTGCTTTTGTCCGGTGATTTTGTTGAAGGCGATCCTACCGCCGGGAAGCCACGTGTCCGTCGGAAAGTCGAAGCTTTGCCACAAAGGATGCTCGATCGATGAATTCGACCCAGACCCATCTGTCAGAACCAAGTTCCCGCTGTCGAGGAGGACGGCGGTGACGGCGGAGCGGTTTAAGCCGGTCTGGTTCAGGCCGGTGGACCAGACGGCTGAGCGCGAGCCGTTGAACAGGACTAGATTCCCGTCGGAAATCGCGAGCCGGGCGGAGCTCCGGTCAAGGATCGGGGCTTCCCGGTTGGCGACCCAGACCCGGGTGAGTATCCGGACCCGTCTGTACCATATGCCGATGTAGAATCTGGAGGAGTTTCCCGGCGTGAAGAAGCCCAGCTCGAAGTGGCCGCCGGAGGAGACGATGGTTTGGTCGCCGGAGAGCGGTCTTCCAGCGGAGATGGTGTCGATTGCGAAGCAGGAAAAGGGGTTGAAGAGGAAGCATAGATAGAGGAGATAGGTCGTGGGATAAAAATGGGATCTTGAAGCCATGGCTGGTGTAGAGAGAGAAAAAACAGAGGATATTAGGTCAATTTTTTTTTCCAGGGAAAGAAAAAAGAAAATGAAATTATATGTGAACTGTAAATGCGCTGGCCAACAGTGGTACTTGACTTTTTCATTGACCTGAGACCATATATTTCTGTTTTCTTTAGTCAAGTTAGGATTTTTATAATTATTAACTGACCATTGTGCCCTTTCTAATAAGAAGTTCTCTGCATATAGCATATTTAATTATGTATGAAATATATAATGATATTTTTAATTTTTGTACAATTTATGTACAAAATTTGAAAATTTATCATATGGCGAACTATTTATAGTACTTCTTTTTATTTTTGTCAAAACGATAGATTATATTATAAATCAAAATGCACAAATGTGCGAATACACAGCAGCCAACGACTGAATACACAGTAGCCAATAGCTGAAAAAGTGGGAGGACATGTCAGAAGACCGCTTAGAATCTCGACTAGCAACGCTAGAATAAAGCTCTAAATTAAACTAACCAACTAAAACAACTAAAACAACTAAAAAGACCGCAACACGATAATACCTGAGTGTCGGATCCCACCAGGATAATAAAGTTGACACCCGGGCACACAGAGGCCAACCGGCCCAAAACAAAAACACGAAACCTAACCAGAAAACAGTAAGAAAATAAAAAAAAAATTAAAAAAAAAAAACTAAATCATACTAAAACAAAAATTCAACTCTCCCACAGTAGAGACCTCCAAAATTGCCATCGAACAAAACCTACTACAGGATGATTCAAAGCACAAGAACTATGTTCACCACTGCCAAAGGCCTAGCGAAACCGGAGACCCAAGCCTCAAAACACTCCCCATAGTTGACTCTCACTCCAACCACAGAAAATTTTCGGATGAAACCAATATTATGAACTAGGATGAAACCATCCTGATTTTTTTACATATAAATTTTAGTATTTTGGTTGTGATTTTATGGAGACTTTCTACAGAAAATTTGATTTCACAAATTTACTAAAATATAGTAAAATTTCTCTTCGGTTTTAATCATTTTTGGCCAACTACCCTTAAACAATAGGTTTTTGAACGACTATTAAAGAAAATATAAATATATAATATGCCAAATAATGGTACACTTTATTCACGGTGTTGTAGGATACTATGGTCATTTTACTAGGTTTGAAGGTGCTCCCATCTTGTGAAGTCAACTGTTAATCCTGACCGTGAAATGGGCCCATGGAAAGAATCCCATCGATAATTGCTTATGAGGGATAGTAATTGACTGTTTCAAGATTCCTTGCGATGGAGAATTAGTCATGCGTTTGGAAAGGTAAATGAAAGATATATTTTATTTTGGCATTAGTTCCAAGGTTCGAATAAGCACCTTGAACTACAGAAACAGAGAAGATCTTTGCTTATTTGTTTCCTTAATTACAATTATTTTATATTCCATAAATAAAATATTATGGATCTTATTATGGTACTTTGTTTTGTAGGAAATCGGATGAGACAAGGAAAGGAGAGGCATGTATGATAAAGAGATCAAGGAGAGAGAGAAGAAGATTCACTTACCAAATTCTCATGCTATAATCAAGGAAGGAAATCAAGGTTGGAGTCCTATACCTTGTAGAAGACTCCAACCCTAAGGAGATTACTTTAAATACCCGTATGCAAGCTCTCATTGCTGCTGCTGAGTTTTGAAGATATATAGAGCAATAATTGAGCTTCGTGTTTTCTGTTTTTAATTGAGTTGTACACAGTTCAGTCTGAGAGTTCGAACTAACTCAAGGACTGAAGCTGTTTTATTTTATTCTTTGTGTTTCATCCAAAAACTACGTTTCAGCTTATACACTTAGGGAGTAAGTGTAGGTTATAAAAGTCCACGGGACGTGGCCGGAGAATTAGTTGATAGGATCGGTGTAGCGTTGGCTAGGCTTGAAGGGAGTTCGAGTCGTTGTAAGTCCAAGCTATGTGTATGTTTGATCTATCAATGAAAGAGCTCTAAGGGGAAGTGGGACGCTTCCCTGAAGAGTTTTAAAATCTTCGGTTTATTGCTTCCGCATTTTTCAGTTCATACCATCGATAAGCGCACTCCGTAGGAATTATACGTTTCAGTAAAAGCCACTCCCATGAAGAACTATCGAACCGTGTTCACATGATTGAGCCTCCTTGCATTTGGGTGGGGCTTTAGAAGCCCCAAAGATCAATAGAGACATCGACTCGCAATAATATGTTGTTGGGTTCATCTCAGAAACTATTGATAGGTAGTGGGATTGTTTTGGCAAAGAGACCAACGGAACATCGAGTCGGGCGATGCCCAGCATATGTCGAGACCAATAATGTTGCGGGGAGGCAAGGTTTCATATGTTGGACTCGAGTATTAAACTAAACAATATAATCTTTCAAACTTTTTCCAGCTCCTTGAATAATGTTCACAGTTTGACTCATTCAGAATCATGCATGTCTGAGAACCAATAAAGTGCATCGAAAAGTCGATCAGATTTGATCCCAATTGTGGACCGATTTAGGGTCGATTAATGATATCACAATTGAGCCTTTGACCTCAGAAAACGAGTCGGATCTGAGGGCGTCGCTTGCACCATGCAGATTCATCCATGAGGAGTATTAGTCTATATGATAATCTGAATCGGTATCCCCAATTGTAGAGGCCGATCAGGGGAACTTTTATTTTGATTGGCACCACCATGCAGATCCATCCATGAGGACCTTTTATTAACAGTTTGATGTACAGAATTTATATACAAGACATTTAATTTTTCTACTCTTATGTATATTTATATGACAAAAAACTAAGTGCATAATTTTAAAATATTTAAAGTTAATTATTTGATTCAACATTGACAAGGTGACCTGGCACCGTGACTCGGTGACGAGAGACCTACCCGGGTCGATTCTCGAGCCCGGCTTACAAAATATGCTTTCAAGCACACACAATTGGTATTGTTGAGACTGCGAATGACCTAAAATGACTAGAACAATAGATTATCGTCCTGTGCTTGAGTGTCGTGAGGTCCTCATAGCCGACGATAGAGAATTCGAATACGAAAAATTTTCGATAGATAGACCAAAAGCAACCTTAGCAATAGTTGATAAGCTATTCGGGGCGTGATTGTTTATGAGTTCTACAGTAAATATCTCACTTAAAACTCAAATTTAATCCAACTCCACTATCTTCAATATTATCAATATAATTAAATAATATTAACCAATCATTATTACACATCACATCAACTTTAATTAATCACTCACATAATTTTAACTAATCATCACTTCTAATCATTTTCTCCTACTATTACATCAAATCAACTTTAATTATTTTAATTTAAATATTATTTTATTATATCCACTAACAACTAACCATACTACTTTTTTTCCAAACTTAACTATAGTTAAAAAAAAACTACTCCCTCCTTTTTTAAATAAATATCGTTTTAACTTTTTTGATTTATCCATTTTGCTGTGTATCTAGATATTTAATATGTCTAGATACACAGCAAAATGGATGAATCAAAAAAGTCAAAACGACATTTATTTAAAAAAGGAGGTAGTAGCATTTTACTAGTTGAATTCATATCCAATCACCCCATCAATAACCAGTTTTAACTAGCTAATAGGATTAGTTTATTTGGCATGAAAAAAAAAAAGAAAAAAAAAAGCATTTAATTAATTTTACAATCATTTATTCTAATAAAAAAGTTATGGAAACGCAACAACCGGAAAACTTTCGGCAGCTTAACCGATTCTTCTGTTCCCTCCGCCTCACCTTTCTTCCCGGCATCCTTTATTACATCCTCTTCCTCCAATCACCTAAAAATTTGCCTTTCCATCTTCCAAATCAAACCTTAAACCACTTTCCGACAATCATGACCTCGCCGCCGCCGCCGCCGAGACCCGCCTCCCT